GAAGGACCCCGAGGAGTATGTGTGCAATTACCATGGAAACAGTTCGTGCTAGGAGCACAAAAGCTATACTGGATCAGATGAGGTATTGGCCCTGTTTCAAGTTAAAAACCTGGGTCAGACTTTGCAAAAAAAAGTAAACCCACAAAATGCTGAATCTGACAAACGGTGCTACTCTGATTGTGTGAACAGAGCTGATCCAACAACAACAAATTACATTGACACAGCGCCTTTCACATCAAAAGGACATCCCAAGAAGCTGGAAAGTCAGGGATTTGGACCCGAGCTGGGATTTGGGATCAAGAGGGGTAGAGGACAGTCCGATATTCACACCTACTCTCACAAAATACATGTGAAGGGGCTTTGCAATAATATCAATGACGCAATAAAGTGATTTATCCTCGCTCAACTCTGCCACTACCTCACCCCTCGGCCGCTGAACCTCTTGTTCATGCCTTCATCACCTCCAGGCTCGACCATGCAAACGCCCTGCTTGTCAGCCTTCCCAACTCCTCCCTCCACAGGCTGCAGATAATCCAGAACTCTACAGCCCGTGTCCTCTCCCGCACCAAACTCCGTGACCCCATCTCCCCATTCTCTCCCGAATCCATTGGCTCCCTATCCTTCAGAGGATCCAGTTCAAGATCCTGGTCCTCACCTACAAAGCCCTCCATGGTGTCGCCCCACCCTACCTCTTGACCTCCTAACTCCCTTTTTGCACAGGTTCTGTGATGTCTTCAACCCTGGCACCAGAGAGGCAGGCAACATACCATGTGAGAGTCACGTCGTTGGTTGCAGAAACACCTATCTACTCCTTTTAGCATTGTGTCACTAATGACAATTGCATTCACACTCTTCCTTATGTCCCCCTGTGCATCTGTTTGCTTTTGACTCTCCTCCCCAGAGGTGTCATCACTCACCGGTATTCAGTAGAGAGAACTAGTTTATGAGTACCACACTCTCAGGGGATTTCTGCACTGCCCGTCCCCTCTTCCTACCATGTTGGGTGGTCACCCATTCACTCTCCTTCTGAACCCTCTGTGGCCGTGGGGTGACCACCTCCTGAAACGTTCGATCCATGAAATCTTCAGCCTCTCGTATGCTATGTAGTGACACCAGCCTCTCCTCGAGCTCAGTAACCCTGAGCTCAGGCTTGAGCAGCCGGAGGCACTTCCTAAACATGTGTTTGTCAGGGCACACAAAGCATCCTGGAGTTCCCACACAGCACACATTGTGCATGCAACCGGTCTCAGCTGCCCTGCCATATTCCCAGACATGTTTTATATTATTTTAATATAACTATTACATATTTTATAATTATGCACCTCTTTCCCCCTCTGCACTGAATTTTGGACTCTCACCAAATTCTGCTGAATGAAAGAGTTCTTTCTTGCTCTCTGGTATCTCTCTTGCTGAAGAATTCCCACTCTCACCAAAGTCCTTAACAGAATTCTCACTCTGATCCACCTCACTCAGTTCTCTCCTCACGCTGCTGGGTTCTCTGCTCAAGTGACTCCGAGGACATCAGCAATGACACCTCCCTGTCCTCTCAACAACAACAAATCAGACCATTATACCTTCCCTGTTTGGAATTCTATCATCCAATCCCATTTCCCTGGTCTTTCTTCAACACGTCTGTTTTGGCACGAGCTCCCCAACAGAAGCTAAGACTCTAATCCCATTCCCCACCCGATCTCCTGCACTGGAGCCAACTCCTCTAACCCCATTTCCCCAAAGATCATTCGGAGAAGGCCGCATAACAAGCATTAAAGCAAATGGCACACATATTGCTCAAAGGCTGATCCACGGTGAGAGCTGTAACAATGCTTTCGGCTCGGGGTCATACAGGGCAGTTTTTTGACTGTTAAATAAATGACTTTGGGGAAAAGGGGAGTTTGAATTGGGAAATGGTTTGGGGAATTTGTGCCCCGAGGTGGAGGGAAGGTTCCAAGATTGTGGTGGATAGATTTTAGTTAGGTCAGGGTATCAAGGAATATGGAGCAAAGCAGGTAATGGGAGTTGAGGTGCAGATCAGCCATGATCTAATAGAATGGCAGAACAGGCTCGAGGGGCTGAATGCCAACTCCTGTTCCTATGGGAGTCCTTCCTTCTAATCTGGAGTTTGGCAGCAAAATGCAGGTAAACTCCTCTATAAAGTGGTCAGGTGGGTCCAACGTCCCAGCAGCTGCACTAAAGGTGACGTCCGAGAAGTCAAATTACCACCAATGTCACTTCCTGTGCAAGAAGCGTCTCTGACATCAGCTTCTGCATGCTGTACACGTCTGTGCTGTACACAGCAAACCCTGATGACGTGAAGGAAATGAAATCAGCAATGCACAGAAAATGACATCAGCTGCAACCCTGAAGACAACAATTATTTAAGTGCGCAAGGGAAACCAGCTTGTCAGGGGCAGAAGGTGGATGTATGCAAGGGAGCACAATAGGGAACTATAATGGGATTGCCCTACATGTGACCAACTGAGTATTTTCACTGCCCAGGCCAGGGTTTGTATTGTGCTTCAGAGTATAGCTACAGCAGAGCAACATGTGGATATCAGGGATTTATCTCACACTCGCAAACACAAATGCACACACACATACAGGTGAGAGAAACAAACACACACACACACACAGTGAAAGGAACACATACAATGAGTGGGAGAGAGACACACACACATATTTTTGGGGGTCAGCCAGGTGTCTGAACATGCAGAAACCCATCAAAATGCTTAAGAGTGTCCAAACCAAACTGAGAATTTCATGCATTCCCACCTACACATGGAAATCCCAGAGATAGATTGTTGGAATGGAACGTGCACTCTCTCCCTGGAGGGACCCATCCTGCTTACCTAATTCCGGAAAGTATTAGGCGCAGGTTGGCAAAAGCAAAGGCTTGGGGACCCCAGAGTGTGCGGTGAGGTAAGTGCTGGGAGTCTAACCAGCTAAAACCGCATAGCTTGTCATTGATATTGCTGTCTGGCAAGCTTTCCCGCTGTTTATCCAGCTAGGACCACCCTACCAGTTAGGGCTTTGGCTTGCAGGGTTAACAGGAGCTGAGTGGGATGACTCCTGATGACAGACAGACACACACACACACACACACACAGCGAGAGAAACACACATTGAGAGAGAAACACACAATGAGAAACGTGTGGGTGCAAGCACATACATATACACACCACACACAAACGAGAGAGAAACACACATACCCACACACAATGAGAGAAACACACCAAGTCTAAACTCGCTCAGTTATAAGTATTACTCAGAGCCTGACGTGCTGCCAATTACCTTGGCAACCTCACCAACCCAGCGAGTGTCAGTGAAGTCGGAGCCGGCTGAGGGAGCTGTGCCGGGGAAGGGAAATGAATGGCTGGCATTCAGCATCTGCTGAACAGTACGTGGGAGGTGTTCAGTCGAATGATTAAAGCAGAAGATTAAAATGAAGGATATCTTCACCAAGATCTGTGCAGCGTGGTACACTTACATCACTAAACTGGTCAGGTTCCTACAAGTCAAATTAAAATGCATGTTAGAATGCAGAGGAGGGCTAATTCTGTTCAAATGCTTTTCGTACTGTAATAGCTCGTTTTTGTTCCTCACCTGGGATTAGAGGTGTCGCTGTACTCCTGAGAATTTTTATGGCACTTTTTAATGTAACTACTTAATTCGGATGTCAGCCTGGCTCAGTTAGCAGCCTCTGGGTTAAGGTTGTGGATTGAAGTCCCATGTCAGGGACTTTGAGCTCACAGTCAAAGGCTGACGCTCCAGTGCAGTGCTGGATGTGGGAGGGTATTGTTGGAGGCGCAGTCCTTTGGATGATATGTTAAACCGAGGTTTTGTAAATAGAACTGCGGCAAAACAGCTTCTTAATTATGGAAGAATTCAGCAAAATGCTGCACAATCTCATAAAATTCAGTCAAAAATCACTTTACAGTATATCCGGTGAAGCAATTTGAGACTTTGGCGAAGTGATAAGGCACTAAATCAAATGCAAGGATTATTGTTATTATTTTAAAGCAATGGTCTTAAGGCTAAGACCAGGGGATATTTTAGGTCTTTCCTTTCAATAACAGAAATTAACGACACAGAACAAGGCCATCTGGCCCATTGTGTCTGCTCTGGTTCTGTGAGAGAGCAATCCATTCAGTCCTTACTCCTGTTGACCTGCCTGTTCTCCCAAACCCTGTACATTGCTGCTCTTTAGACATCTTTCTGCTGCCTTCTTGAACGCTGCTGCGTCAACCACTGCACCCAGCAGAGTATTTTCTAATAATCTAACCTCCTGATCTCCCTCCTCTAATTATCTTAAATTGATTCCCTCCGGTCACTGACTCACCAAGCAGTGAAAATAAATTCTCCCTTTTGACTATTAAAATCCCTCATGATGTTAAAGACCATTATTAGATCTCAACCTTCTCTGTTCCAGTGAAAAATAGTCCCTGATTTATCAGGTAAAGGGTGTTCACAAAGTCCTGTCACCCCCTGTGTTTTTTTTCTTACAATGAATTTTTATTTTCTGTTGCAGATGAGTCGAGTGTAACAATGTCCGACACCAGTAACTTCCTCCTCATTCCATCTATGTTACAGAAGATATCGCGCTGAACGTGGTGACGGATCATTATCTGACATGAAAAATGATGGCTCTCACACACACACACACACCAATCCTCTGGACATTAGATACAGTTAAACACTTGTACTGAATACAATCAAATGCTTCTAAATACAATTATCATCAGTCTTCCACATGTTTCAGTTGTTGATCAGTGCACTGTGTGAAAAAAAACCTGGGAGGTAACAGGACTTTGTGGACACCCTGTATATTGGACACTCACTTGGCTGTTTGTAGGACATGGCTGTCTTGTTTGCCTATGAATACAGTCGCTCACCATAACAATAATTGCTTTGAGATGTTTTGCTATAAAGTTTTTGTTAGACCATTCTAGAGAGAAAGAGCACGAGACAGGAGGTTCCTGGAAGTATATGGTAATTTGACATACCTTAAAATGAGTCAGGAATGCAGGAAATTGGATTCCTGCAAAACAAAAAACAGGAGGTCAGTTTGCGATCGCTAGTTAGTCTGTGCAGTTGTTAGTCAAAGAGCAGATGCAAAATAGCTCTCCAGATTATAGGGGCTCAGAGAATAATATTAATAATAATCCTTGCTTTTGAATTGTTGAGACTTCTCAAAGCACTTCACAGGATATACTGTAAAGTGCAGCTGCTGTGTATTCTGTGGATGAAACACACAGCAGCCAATTGCACACAGCAATGTCCCACAATCATCCATGGAGTGAGTGACCAAATTTCTTTTTATTTGAGGGATTGTTAGCCAGGACACAGGGAGAGAGAAATTCCTTTTTCTTTTTGAATAGTCCACAGGATCTTTAACATCTACCTGAAAAGACAGACAGGACCTCAGTGTAACATCTCATCCGAAGTACGAACCTCCAACAATTCAACATCCCCCCAGTTCGGCAGAGTAACCTTTGCCTATCCTTGCTACATGTCTGATGGAAGTGGGCTGTGTCTTGAGAACAATCTGCTTGTGAGGTGCTCTTGGACACCAGTAAGAGAGATTCACAATCCTGCAATGTCTCTTAAAAGGATACACACTCATTTGCAGAGTTGGCTATTATTTATATTGCAAGATAATGGTATCCCCCAACATATATTCTGTGAAGCGCTTTGGGACGTCTAGAAGACGTGAAAAGCGCTATATCAAATGCAAGGATTATTATTATTATAAGACTGTTTGAGGTTAGTGCTGATTGGCAGTGGATGAATAAAACCATGAGTGTTAGATTCAAGAGAGGAAAAAGTAAGAAAAAGAAAAACACATCCAGAATCTGGGGCCAATTCCAAACCAGTGCTCTGCTCTTTCTACACATATCAATACAAAGCAGCTATCAATCACCAATCTCATTCCCAGAGTACAGTGCAGAGTAAGCATCGCAGCACATCAATAACTCTCTTCTCTCTCTTACCAGAGGAGCTCGAATGAGTCCCTAAGGCTTGAAATTCTTCTTGGTGTTAGCGCTAAGAATAGTTTTTTTAAAACTTAAGTTTGGTGCAGAATCAATGTTATGCTTAAAGGGAATTCGACTTTCAACGAAACAACCCTGACTAAACTTAAATGCGTAGACGTAAAGGGTATTCGTTACCCAAAAGTGCCTCGAACAACTACTTGTGTTTATACAGCACCCTTCACATAGAGTAATGTCTATGAGCTTCCCAGGAATGGTGTGGGACGTGGAGCTGCTGGGGGGGGGGGGGAGAGGGGAGCTGATCGTAGTCAAAGTTGTACCAATGCTAACACTGTCCTGGAATTGATTGTGTCTCTTTCCCAAGCTGCAGTCAGAAGCCCACTGGTTGGCCTCTCGCACACTATTGGCCCCCGATACAAGTCCTATTCTTAGCAGAGAGCCTCCTGATGGAATGTTCCTTGGCATCTGGCCCATGAACTACTTGACCTGGCAGCACTTGTTGTTGACACTGGCTCCCAAAGGCAGAAAAGCATATTTTCCGCGGAAGAGAATCCTTCGCCTCGACTGAGCACCTAAAGAGCAGTGAGGCCGCTCGATACTCATAGTCTCATCAACAGTCACATCCAGACTTTCAGCGACTTGACTCCCAACATTGGATCCACTTATGCTTCCAACAGGCAGCTGAGTTGCTAAAGCACTAACCTACCACTAGATGTCAGCAGTACACCTCAAAAATACATCACATTCACGAAGCACACTAGCGACACCTTGGCACAGAATCGTGTTACCATAATGATTTGTTCTCCAAGTTGTAGTGATCGTTTTACTACAAAAAAATCAGGAGATATATACCGGGGACATGGGATTCTGAATGGATTCCTAGAGTCAGGAGCTTATCTGAGCTTTCCCTCATTCTCAAAGTCCTTGAGCTCATCTGGAGCTCACTTCCCTTTTCCAAAATGCAGAAGTATCATTTTTGTTGAAGATTTCTAGTCAGCGTGGACACAAAGGCTGACGCGTTATTACTTGAAGTTCTGTAAATCAGCATCTTCCATATTCCTCCTGTGTACTTCTGTTTTTCCTCTGTATCCTTCAATTAAGTTACTTGTTTGCTGAGCTGATAAAATGTTATTTTAGCCGCCCCTGTGCTAACATTCGGACACTGTAAAATCATTCTCATTCCTCTCCCCCTTGTTCACGTCACTCGGTACCTTTCACTAGGAACAAGCCAAGGGTTTGTGTCTCCTCCGCGTTCAGTTTCCTGCTGGACAGACCGTCTGAGGCGTCTAAAACCATTCTGTCCAGGACAGTGGTGGCCAACCTTTATGGTCGGCCAACAAAATAAATGTTCCTGATTGAATATCTCCTGATTTTCGCTCTTCACTGTGCTGTGCTTTAAGACATCTCGGCAACGCGATTCGGTGCTATATCAAATGCAAGGATTACTATTATTAAAAAGGGGGAAATATAAATGCGGAACAATAAATGCAAAGCGTTTCACCCACAATGTGAGGTCAATGCACTGCGAAGGGTTTTGAGACGTCTCGATGTGATTTTAAGCGGTTTATCAAATACAAAGTTTTTTTTAAAAATTTATTTATTCCATTCAGGCTGTTGCTAACCTACTGAGGGACAGGGAAAGGGGGAGTGTAGAGAAAAGGAAGAGTTGTCCTTGAGCCTCTGTCCCTTGCCTGCGTGATTGGCAGAGATGTGGGTATAATGCGCTCACTCGCCTGCCTGCGTGTCCTCGCCATCTGCAGGCACTGCATGGTCCCAGGTGTCCAAGGAGACTGAAGAAAATAGAGGTATTCATAGCCTCACAATGATTCCTGACAACAAATGAAGCTGTGGCCACGGAATCAAATTACATCAGTCAGCAATGCTGCCAAATTGCAGGCACACAGCTCCCTGGAAATCCTATTAACATTTTTTACAATGAATTGTGAATAAACGTTCCCATCCAAATAAGGAATTCCGATTAACCATTCATCCCGGTTGTAAAGAAACTCTTTTTTTTCGCAGCGAAGGGGAAGCAGGCGGCTTCTGTGACCAGAGTGCTTGATCGGATTTCTCTTGGGAGCGAAAATGGCACAAATGCGTGTTAAAGGGAGATGCACACAAAAATACACCCACAAATACACAGTCAATTCACTTTACGGTATATCCTGTGAAGCGCTTTGAGATGTGTCGATGAGGTGATAAGGCGGTATATCAAATGCAAGGATTATTATTATTTATTATTATCTCTGTGAAGAGAGTCGGGGATCAGTTTGTGTAAAGAGCTAACAGTAGGATGACCATAAGTCCCGATTTTTGGGGACAGTCCCCAGAGGTATTGTGTCCCAGGCTAAACTTACGCTGTCTTGAGTTCAGCAACAAACTGAGTGAGAACAATAACGTTGTAAAACAGAGACACTCATCAAATACAGAAACGCAGCCATTAATCCAACACTTTTCCATTACTACATCAGCAATTGTGGTGAGTTAATTTTTTATATATTATATATATACACACACACACACATACACACACGTGTGTCCGTGTCCAGATTTGGTTTACAAAATACGATCACCCTAGTTTATAGCCACTTACATGAAACCTTGCTATTTAAGTGCAAGTAGCTGTTGACTGAAGGGTCTAACAGGTAGAAGCAGATGACTTGCCCAGTGCCTTAACCAGATAATAATAATAATCCTTGCATTTGATATAGCGCTTTTCACGTCGGGAGGACGTCCCAAAGCGCTTCACAGAACACACTGTAAAGTGAATTGACTGTATATTTGTGGGCAAACGCGGCAGCCAATTGCGCACAGCAATGTCCCACAAACAGTCGTGGATTGAAAATGACTAATTTATTATTTTTTTTGGTTTTGGATGGATTATTATCAGGTGTGTGGAGTAAGGAAACTTGCCCAAGGTTTCGCCCTGACCTGCCTCGAATTGAACTCAGGTCTCTCGCTTGCAAAGCGAGTGCTCTAACCACTGAGCTACAGGACTCCATAATGGCCATAACGGCTGAAAGGTTCACGGGGGAGGGTGGGTCGGGGGGGGGAAGAAAAACATGAGAGATGACAAACGAGGAGCTGGGTCGTAACCACACCAAGGCAGCGCTCTGATTTCCCAATGGAGCCACCGAGACTACCCATTATATGTCAAACTGAAAAAGTATGTTTTAAAATTACAGCACAGCCCAGGGCCGCTGTGATATGGTGCAGCTCTGTGGATGATGCGAGAGTCAGGATGGGCTGTGACCTCTCCCCCAGTGGCTGCCGACCCACGTCTCGGCTCACACGCGATACCCCGCATGGTGGCCGTGTGGGCTCGTGCACTGGAGATGGCGATCTCCGTGTTACTGCAGCTCAACACGAGTCAAGACAGACAGGAGAGGTGATGCGTGGGGGTGTGTGTGTGTGTGTGTGAGAGGGGGGAAAGGGTTCACCACAAGCTCTATGGTAACACTGACTCACTTCCTCTGTGTACGTTCGCTGATGTCTGTGGGCAGCAGACAGTGATTCCTCATTACTGACTGCTCTCTAACGTCAAATGTGCAATCCCGCGTTCTGCATTGTTTGGTGCTGCTTCGGGGAGAAGGGATTCTTCCCATCCAGCCCCCGCTCGCCCTGCAAGCCAAAGCCCTAAAGGAACAGGGAATCGCCAGATGAAAACAGCGATATTAATGGCAAGCGATGCGGTGCGGTGTTAGCTGGTTAGACTCCAGCAGTACCCCCAACCCTCGACTCTTGCCACCCTGCGCCTAATATTCTCCGGAATTGGGTAAGCAGGGAGAGCGTGCGCATTGCATTTCAATACGCGGGAATTTACATACGTAGCTGACGTACCTGGAACTCTCAGTCACTCCGCTAAACAATTACTATACTAAAACATACGGTTTGAGACACAGCGCTCATCCCACATTTATGCCCCCACACTAACTTGGTTCCGCCAATCGTCTTCCCTCTTCCTGCTCCTCCCCTGAAGATGTGTTCACTCCTTTGCTTCTTCTGAGGTTACAGCTCCACAGACCACCACCACCCTCTGGCTCCTCACTCAACTGTCCACTCTTTACATTATCCACCACAGCTGAGCCCGATTCCTGATCTCTCCTCACGTCCGTCCGCCCACCCACCCACCGTCACGCACTCTTTCCAGCAAGGGTCTTCGTTACGACAACAACAGCTTGCATTTATATTTCTAAAAAATTGGTCACTCACTCCGTGGATGTTTGCGGGACATTGCTGTACTCAATTGGCTGCTGCTTTTTGCTCACGAAACATGCAGCAAATTCACACTCCACTGGCAAGTTCTTTGAGATGCCTCGCAGAATATATTGTGAAGTGTAGTGACTATGTACTTTGTGGGTGAAACACAGCAGCCAATTGCGCGCAGCAGTGTCCCACAAATCCCCCGTGGATTCAGTAATCGCATTTTTTTCTGGGTTTTTTTGAGGGATTATTACCGCCGGGAATCAAAATACTGCACATACATTAATATGTTACACAAGTACATACAGGGACTCTGAGCTCAATCTCGCTGCCTTGGTACACACAGGCTGGCGACATGCGAACACATACACTGCTGGTTAGCTTCACCTCTGAACCTGTATGGGTGATCTTTTATAATCAGCCTTCCCTGTGGCTGAGGCAGCTCATTGCTTCCCTTCTGCAGATATGAATCATACTCACGTCCTGGCTCGCACATTACCCAACGTTACAACACTTACAGACAGAGTGTTTTCCCTCTAATTAATGACATTCTCTCGGCAGGTCTCCGGCCTTTGTATTAATATCTCCATCCCAAAGCCACTCTGAAATGCCTCCCTCGGGGCCAGGTGTCTTTTTTAAAAAGTTTATCTGATAAGAACCCACACATCCATCATCCGCAACACGTTTTTCTATTGTTATTGATTGCCTTTGCGCTGCTTGCACACCTGAGGCATTTTGCACACAAAATACAGTCACTACACTTTACACTATATTCTGTGAAGCACTCTGAGATGTCTCAACAAAGTGATAAGGCACTATATCAAATTATCAAAGGTTATTGTCTGGGTGTGTAATCACCACAGTGTCCAGGGCTCTGGGTGTGTAATGCTCACAGTGTGCGCGGCGCTGGGTGTGTAATGGTCACAGTGTGCGCGGCGCTGGGTGTGTAATGCTCACAGTGTGCGGGGCGCTGGGTGTGTTTCGGTCACAGTGTGTGGAGCTCTGGGTGTGTAATGGTCACAGTGTGCGGAGCTCTGGGTGTGTTTTGGTCACAGTGTGCGGGGCACTGGGTGTGTAATGGTCACAGTGTACGGAGCTCTGGGTGTGTAATGGTCACAGTGTGCGGAGCTCTGGGTGTGTTTTGGTCACAGTGTGCAGGGCACTGGGTGTGTAATGGTCACAGTGTGCGGGGCTCTGGGTGTGTAATGGTCACAGTGTGCGGAGCTCTGGGTGTGTAATGGTCACAGTGTGTGGAGCTCTGGGTGTGTAATGGTCACAGTGTGCGGAGCTCTGGGTGTGTTTTGGTCACAGTGTGCGGGGCACTGGGTGTGTAATGGTCACAGTGTACGGAGCTCTGGGTGTGTAATGGTCACAGTGTGCGGAGCTCTGGGTGTGTTTTGGTCACAGTGTGCGGGGCGCTGGGGTCACAATGTGGGCTGGGGGGTGTGTAATGGTCACAGTGTGCGGGGCTCTGGGTGTGTAATGGTCACAGTGTGCGGGGCTGGGGGTGGGGTGTAATGGTCAGTGTGCGGGGCTGGGGGGCGTGTAATGGTCAGTGTGCGGGCTGGGGGGGGGGGGGTGTAATGCTCACAGTGGCGCTGGGTGTGTTTTGGCCACAGTGTGCAGAGCTCTGGATGTGTAATGGTCACAATGTGGGCTGGGGGGGGTGTAATGGTCACAGTGTGCGGGGCTGGGGGCGGTGTAATGGTCAGTGTGCGGGGCTGGGGGTGGGGGGGGTGTAATGGTCCAGTGTGCGGGGCTGGGGGTGGGGTGTAATGGTCAGTGTGCGGGGCTGGGGGGGGTATGGTCAGGGGGGGGGGCGTAATGGTCAGTGGCGGGGCTGGGGGTGGGGGCGGTGTAATGGTCAGTGTGCGGGGCTGGGGGTGGGGTGTAATGGTCAGTGTGCGGGGCTGGGGGTGGGGTGTAATGGTCAGTGGGCGGGGCTGGGGGCGGTGTAATGGTCACAGTGTGCGGGGCTGGGGGGGGGCGGTGTAATGGTCAGTGTGCGGCGATGGGGGCGGTGTAATGGTCAGTGTGCGGGGATGGGGGGGGGGGCGGTGTAATGGTCACAGTGTGCGGGGCTGGGGGGCGGTGTAATGGTCACAGTGTGCGGGGCTGGGGTGGGGGCGGTGTAATGGTCAGTGTGCGGGGCTGGGGGCGGTGTAATGGTCAAGTGTGCGGGGCTGGGGGTGGGGTGTAATGGTCAGTGTGCGGGGCTGGGGGTGGGGTGTAATGGTCAGTGTGCGGGCTGGGGGCGGTGTAATGGTCAGTGTGCGGGGCTGGGGGTGGGGTGTAATGGTCAGTGTGCGGGGCTGGGGGAGTGGTGTAATGGTCAGTGTGCGGGGCTGGGGGTGGGGGGGGTGTAATGGTCACAGTGTGCGGGGCTGGGGGTGGGGTGTAATGGTCAGTGTGCGGGGCTGGGGGGCGGTGTAATGGTCAGTGTGCGGCGATGGGGGGCGGTGTAATGGTCAGTGTGCGGGGCTGGGGGGCGGTGGGGGTGTAATGGTCAGTGTGCGGCGATGGGGGGCGGTGTAATGGTCAGTGTGCGGGGATGGGGGGCGGTGTAATGGTCAGTGTGCGGGGCTGGGGGGCGGTGTAATGGTCAGTGTGCGGGGCTGGGGGTGGGGGGCGGTGTAATGGTCAGTGTGCGGGGCTGGGGGTGGGGGGGGGGTGTAATGGTCAGTGTGCGGGGCTGGGGTAAGGCTGACCAGCTACACACCACCATTAGCCCCCGGGGAAGCTGCCGCCGCTCTCGGTGCTTTCCTTACCTGCCCTCGGGCTGCCCGGCTGCTGGTTCCCGCCGCCCAGCGCACAGCTCTCCGTCTCCCCGGCGCGCGTGCGTGAGAGTCTCTCTCTATCCAACGTGTCTGTGTCTCCCCCCCCACCGTGTGTGCCTCTGTCTCCCCACCCTCTCTGCCCTGTGTCTGTGTCTGTGTCTCTCTCTCTCTACTCTTGTGTGTCTCACACGGTCTGTGTCTGTGTATGTGTGGTGGGGGGTTCTCTCTCTGCCCTGTGTGTGTGTGTGTGTGTGTGTGGCTCTGTGTGTGTCTCTCTCTCTCTCCCTGTGTGTCTCTCCGTGTCTATGTGTGTGTGTGTGTGTCTCTCTGTGTGTGTCTGTCTCTCTCGCTCTGTGTGTGTGTCTCTGTGTGTATGTGTGTCTCTCTCTCTGTGTCTGTGTGTCTCTGTGTGTGTGTGTCTCTGTGTGGGTCTCTCTGTGTGTATGTGTGTGTGTCTCTCTCTGTGTGTCTGTGTGTGTGTGTGTGTCTCTCTGTGTCTGTGTGTCTCTGTCTCTGTGTGTGTCTCTCTCTCTCTCTGTCTGTGTGTGTGTGTGTGTGTGTCTGTGTCTGTGTGTGTGTCTCTCTCTCTGTGTCTCTCTGTGTCTCTGTCTCTCTCTGTGTCTCTGTCTCTCTCTGTGTCTCTGTCTCTCTCTCTGTGTCTCTCTCTGTGTCTCTCTCTGGTGTCTCTCTCTGGTGTCTCTCTCTGGTGTCTCTCTCTGGTGTCTCTGTCTCTCTCTGTGTCTCTGTCTCTCTCTCTCTGTTTCTCTGTCTCTCTCTCTGTTTCTCTGTCTCTCTCTCTGTGTCTCTCTATGTGTCTCTCTCTGTGTCTCTCTATGTGTCTCTCTCTGTGTCTCTCTATGTGTCTCTCTATCTGTGTCTCTCTATCTGTGTCTCTCTATCTGTGTCTGTGTCTCTGTGTCTCTCTCTGTGTCTCTGTCTCTCTCTCTCTCTCTGTCTCTCTCTCTGTCTCTCTCTCTGTATCTCTCTGTGTCTCTCTCTGTGTCTCTCTCTGTCTCTCTGTCTCTCTCTCTGTCTCTCTGTGTCTCTCTCTCTCTGTGTCTCTGTGTCTCTCTCTGTGTCTCTGTCTCTCTCTGTGTCTCTCTCTCTCTCTCTGTGTCTCTCTCTCTCTCTCTGTGTCTCTGTCTCTCTGTGTCTCTGTGTCTCTCTCTCTCTCTGTGTCTCTCTCTGTGTCTCTCTCTGTGTCTCTCTCTGTGTCTCTCTCTCTGTCTCTGTGTCTCTCTCTGTGTCTCTCTCTCTGTGTCTCTGTGTCTCTCTCTCTCTGTATCTGTGTCTCTCTCTGTGTCTCTGTCTCTCTGTATATCTCTGTGTCTCTCTCTCTGTGTCTCTGTCTCTCTCTCTGTGTCTCTGTCTCTCTCTCTCTGTGTCTCTGTCTCTCTCTGTGTCTCTGTGTCTCTGTCTCTCTCTGTGTCTCTCTCTCTGTGTCTCTGTCTCTCTCTGTGTCTCTCTCTCTGTGTCTCTGTCTCTCTGTCTCTCTGTATATCTCTGTGTCTCTCTCTCTGTGTCTCTCTCTCTGTGTCTCTGTCTCTCTCTCTCTGTGTCTCTGTCTCTCTCTCTCTCTGTGTCTCTGTCTCTCTGTCTCTCTGTATATCTCTGTGTCTCTCTCTCTCTGTCTCTGTCTCTCTCTCTGTGTCTCTCTCTCTGTGTCTCTGTCTCTCTCTCTGTGTCTCTCTCTCTCTCTCTGTCTCTCTCTCTGTGTCTCTCTCTGTGTCTCTGTCTCTCTCTGTGTCTCTGTGTCGCCGCGAGTTCACTCCCCGCTGGTGGGTGGGAGGGACTCGGCAGCGATTTGCCTTCTTCTATTGGCTGCTCTGGTCCGGGGGGCGGAGTCAGTAACCGGACCCGATACGCTGATTGGTCCGCGCGGCTGTCAGTCACCGTGTCCGGGGGAGCGCTTGTAAACACTAATTAAAGGGGAACCGCACAGCGTTAATCCGCACAGTCACCAACACCAGCGGAGAGGGGCAGTGGCACTGGGGGGCAGTGGCACTGGGGGGCAGGGGCTCTGGGGGGCAGGGGCACTGGCCGAGGGGCAGGGGCATTGGCCGAGGGGCAGGGAGGCTGACCGAGGGGCAGGGGCATTGGCCGAGGGGCAGGGGCGCTGGCCGAGGGGCAGGGGCATTGGCCGAGAGGCAGGGGCATTGGCCGAGGGGCAGGGGCATTGGCCGAGGGGCAGGGGCGCTGGCCGAGGGGCAGGGACGCTGGCCGAGGGGCAGGGGCGCTGGCCGAGAGGCAGGGGCATTGGCCGAGGGCAGGGGCATTGGCCGAGGGGCAGGGGCATTGGCCGAGGGGCAGGGGCATTGGCCGAGGGGCAGGGAGGCTGGCCGAGAGGCAGGGGCATTGGCCGAGGGGCAGGGGCATTGGCCGAGGGGCAGGGGCATTGGCCGAGGGGCAGGGGCATTGGCCGAGGGGCAGGGAGGCTGACCGAGGGGCAGGGAGGCTGACCGAGGGGCAGGGCGCTGGCCGAGGGGCAGGGGGCTGGCCGAGGGCAGGGAGGCTGGCCGAGTAGCAGGGCGCTGGCCGAGGGGCAGGGAGGCTGGCGAGGGGCAGGGGCGCTGGCCGAGGGGCAGGGAGGCTGGCCGAGCGCAGGGGCGCTGGCCGAGGGCAGGGGCGCTGGCCGAGGGGCAGGGGCACTGGCCGAGGGGCAGGGGCGCTGGCCGAGGGGCAGGGAGGCTGGCCGAGGGGCAGGGAGGCTGGCCGAGGGGCAGGGGCGCTGGCCGAGGGGCAGGGGCGCTGGCCGAGGGCAGGGAGGCTGGCCGAGGGCAGGGGCGCTGGCCGAGGGGCAGGGGCGCTGGCCGAGGGCAGGAGGCTGGCCGAGTAGCAGGGGCGCTGGCCGAGGGCAGGGAGGCTGGCCGAGGGGCAGGGGCGCTGGCCGAGGGGCAGGGAGGCTGGCCGAGCGGCAGGGGCGCTGGCCGAGGGGCAGGGAGGCTGGCCGAGGGGCAGGGGCGCTGGCCGAGGGGCAGGGAGGCTGGCCGAGGGGCAGGGGCGCTGGCCGAGGGGCAGGGAGGCTGGCCGAGGGGCAGGGAGGCTGGCCGAGGGGCAGGGGCGCTGGCCGAGGGGCAGGGGCGCTGGCCGAGGGGCAGGGGCGCTGGCCGAGGGGCAGGGGCGCTGGCCGAGGGGCAGGGGCGCTGGCCGAGGGCAGGGGCGCTGGCCGAGGGGCAGGGGCGCTGGCCGAGGGGCAGGAGGCTGGCCGAGGGGCAGCGGGCTGGCCGAGGGGCAGGGGCGCTGGCCGAGGGGCAGGGAGGCTGGCCGAGGGGCAGGGGCGCTGGCCGAGGGGCAGGGGCGCTGGCCGAGGGGCAGGGAGGCTGGCCGAGGGGCAGGGGCGCTGGCCGAGGGGCAGGGGCGCTGGCCGAGGGCAGGGGGCTGGCCGAGGGGCAGGGGCGCTGGCCGAGGGGCAGGGGCGCTGGCCGAGGGGCAGGGGCGCTGGCCGAGGGGCAGGGAGGCTGGCCGAGGGGCAGGGGCGCTGGCCGAGGGGCAGGGAGGCTGGCCGAGGGGCAAGGGGGCTGGCCGAGGGGCAGGGAGGCTGGCCGAGGGGCAGGGACACGGGGGCCGGCAATGTACAGATTTTTAATTGGGGAAAAAAACCTCATCTATGTGAAGGTGATCACCTCTAAATCTTGTCCCACTCAGCCTCAACAACAACGACAACAACAACACCTTGTATTTACACAGCACCCTTCCCCACAGGGTAGCATCCCAGGGCGCTTCACAACGAGAGGGGGGGTGGTGGGGGGGCAACAGATTGCATTTACTCGGCGCCTTTCCCACGGCAAAGACGTCCCCAAGGCACTGGACAGTCAGTGAAGGATATGGGGGGAATGGGTCGAGAGGAGCGGAGGTGGGGAGGATGGCCGAAGGTGCCATCGAAGAGATGGGCCTTGAGGAGCAAGGGAGGGGGCGAGGCGTAGGGATTCCAGGATGGAGTTCCATAGGGAGGGCCTCGGTGAACTGGGAGCAGCAGACAGGACTCACTCACAACACAGAGAGAGAGAGGGAGGGAGGGAGAGGGAGAGGACGCTCTGACCACAGGCAGCCGGTCACTCACTCCACCTTTGGTCTGGTGTGAACTTGAGAGGTTCGAAAGAAGCCATAAATCAAATGCAACGATGATTATTATTTGATGCTCCAGCTCGGCAGCTGTGAAGTACCGTATGGTTCTGGTCTATGATAATAGAACAATAATTGTAACTTGTTATGAAACAGTTGGTATGTAATATCACACATTGGCAACTTTTACGTGTTTTTTAAGGCTGTGTTTAGGTTTGGCAGGAAGCCGGGAGCTGCCCAGAGCAACTCGCTTTCGACGACTTTTCTCCTCCACTTTTTTCCTCCACCTGTTCCTGACCTGGTTTAACCTTACGCCTGTGATTCCACGGCTCAGCCCTCTCCAATTCATTCCAAAATAATAATAGTCCTTGCATTTTGGTGTAGCATCTTATCAAGTCGTCACAAAATGCTTCACAGGATATACCGTAAAGTGTATTTTGTGGGCGAAACATGGCAGCCAGTTTGCGCACAGCAACGTCCCACAAACAGTCATGGAATGGGTTGACTAATCTCTTTTATTTGGAGGATTGTTGGGCAGGACACTGGGAGAGACAAACTCCCTTCACCTTTCAAATAGTGCCATGGGATCTTTAACGTCCATCTGAACAGGCAGACAGGACCTCAGTTGGTCGTCTCATCTGAAGAATGGCACCTACGGCAATGCCCCGGCACTGCACTGGAGTGTCAGCTTAGACGATGCGAATCCAAATCCCGACGTTGGGCTTGAACCCACAACCTGACTCGGAGCTGACACAAGCAGCCACTTACTTTTGATGTACTGAGCCTCGATATGAATGTTGGCAGGCTATCTAACATCACTGTCCTGTCCTTACACCTGTGCCACTTCCAGCAGAAGGGTTCTGGATAGCAAACAGGAAAAGAAACCTTGCTGATTTTCTTAATTGTGCTCCCGCGTTTGCCTACAAATACAGTCACTCCATTTCACACGAAATCCCGTGAAGAGCTTTGAGACAGCCTTCCGACACGATAAGGCTCTATACAACAACAACTTGCATTTATATAGCGCTCCTCATGCAGGGCAGCGTCCCAGAGTGCTTGTCAGTGGCAGAGAAAATTTATACCAAATGAAAGGACTTTTATTTCCTTCTTTCTACAGTATAATTTAATTAAATGTTGATGATGTCTGCATGAATTATCATAGAATCATAGAATTATACAGCACAGAAGGAGGCCATTCAGCCCAATTGCGTCTGTGCCAGCTCTTTGAAAAGAGCTCTCCAAATCAATCCCACTCCCCCGCTCTCTCCCCATAGCCCTGCAAACTTGTCCTCCCCAAATAATTATCTACTTCTCTCTTAAAAGTTGTTATCAAATTGGCTTCCACCAGCCTTTCAGGCAATTCATTCCAAATCCGAACAACTCGCTGTGCGAAAAAATTTCTCCTCACCTCCCCTCTTTCTTTTAACAACTATTTTAAATTGGTGTCTTCGGGTTACCAACCCACCCGCCAGTGGAAATAGTTTCTCTTTGTTCACCCTATCGAACCCCCTTGAAAACTTCTATTAAGTCTCCTCTTAACCTTCTCTGTTCCAAGGAGAATAATTCCGGCTTCTCTCGCCTCTCCTGATAACCGAAGTCCCTCATTCCTGGTACCATCCTGGTCAATCTCCTTTGCACCCTCTCCAATGCCTTGACATCCTTCCTAAAGTGTGGGGCCCAGAACTGAACACAGTCTCTCGCTGAGGCCTAACCAGTGTTTTATAAAGGTTCATAAAAAATTCCAGACTTTTGTACTCTATGCCCTTATTTATAAAGCCAAGTATCCCGTATGCTTTTTTAACAGCTTTTATCTCCCTGTCCTGCCACCTTCAAATATTTAATTATATGAACCCCCAGGTCTCTCTGTTCCTTCAACCCTTTAGGATTCTAGCATCAGCTTATATTGGCTCCTATCAACGGAGCCGAGCTCACATATTCAACATCAGTACAGCAGTAGAAAAGTAATATTATGCTATTCTAACACGGATATGAGCTGACTGTACCTACCCAGTGATATACAGTTAGATTTCATGTTTGATTTTCACAGAAGTAGTTGGAACTACATTTTTTTTAGAAAAAGTGATGTTGGTTTTCCAGTGAAATATCCCTACCTAGTGGATTATCTGGGAACTGGTCAAATTTGTTTTGCATAAAAGGGCTACAATTTTAACAGTTTTGGTTACTTTTATGTTCACAAGGTCAGCGCTTATGTTTTAGGCATCTCGCCAGGATTCTCTGCTGGCTGATAAATTCACTGCCCTTGGCTGCCTGAGTTTCTCCCGTTATGATCTGACACTGCCAAGGTCGATGGATTTACCTTCCAGTCCAGAATAAGATGTGCTCGCCCACCAAAGTTAGTACAATTTACTGCAGAATTTCCTTGGCGCTCAATGTCAGCACTGAACACTCCCAGTTCAGGTACACGCACTTATTTTTGTCTAAACAATACAGTCACTACATTTCACTGTAAATTATAATAATCCTTGCATTTGATATAGTGCCTTATCACGTCATTGAGACATCTCCAAGCGCTTCAAAATATACACTGTAAATTGGATTGACTGTGTACTTCGAGGGCGAACCGCAGCAGACAATGTCCTACAAACAGTCGTGGATTGAGTTGCCTTTTTTTTTAGGGATTATTACCCCAAAAAGCGATCTGCCAATCAATTAACAACCAGGTTCCTACTTACTGCTAGGTAAACAGAGGCGTGTGGAGGAAGGAAACTTGCCTAAGGTTTAACCCTGCCTGGGAGCAGGCTAACCACTGTACTACAGAAAAATTGCTCTGTTCCAATTGGCTACATGTTCGCCCACAAAAAACACAGTCACTGCACTTAGGAGTATATCCTGTGAAGTGCTGATAAAGGGTGTACTGATTCTCTGTCCTCAAGTGGGGCTATTATTGTTCTCTTCACCAAGTATAGAATCCCTCGAGATGCCACTTAACAGTGCGATTCCCTTCACACTGCCACACTGATAGTATCCAACAATAACAAATTGCATTTATACAACGCCTTTGACATCGGGAGGACAAACAGCAATGAATTAAGTGACCAATTTTATTTGGGGAATTGTTGGCCAGGACACCAGGAGAGAGAAACTCCCTTCTCCTTTCCAATAATCCTTGAAATTGATATAGTGCTCTTCATGTCTTCTCGACAACTCAAAGCGCTTCACAGAATAGACTGTAAAGTGAATTGACTGTATATTTGTGGGCGAAAAGCGGCAGCCAATTGCGCACAGCGCAGTGTACCACAAACAGTCGTGGATTGAAAATGACCAATTTATTATTGTTTTGTTTTGGAGGGATTATTATTAGGCGTGTGGAGTAAGGAAACTTGCCCAAGGTTTCGCCCTGCCGGGAATTGAACCCAGGTCTCTCGCTTGCAAGGCAAGTGCTCTAACCACTGAGCTACAGGACTCCACGAATATCAAATGGTTCCACGGTAACATCCGCCTGAACAGGCCGAAGGGCAGGAGTGCATACTGCTCCACCATTGTGACTCTTTCCAGTTTTCACACCAGGCAATCTCCTGGGTTCTTGGTATGAGATTGTCGCTTTGAATTTAGAAACTGTTTTGTGCATTGGAATCTTGCATGTTATATGTCAAACTATTCCGAGATTGTCAAAACTTAATTTGGTTTAGAATCCTTACAGAGAGTAAGCGGTTTCATTCTAGCAGCCCAGTGCTGATATTAACCCACAGGTAACGGGCAGCACGCATCTGACTCACTGCAGCACACACCAGAGTCGTCTGGAAGATGTGATGAGGCGCTATATCAAATTCAAGGATTATTACTGTCATTAAACTGGGTTCTGTACCCGCGCACCTCTTACTCAATGCGGTTTTGTTTTGCACAGTGTATAAGTGCTCTGAGACACTACCCTGTGTGAGAGGCGCTTTATAAATATGTTGCTGTTGCATTTAAGGAAAGAAATTCAACTCCATAAAAGTGTGTTTTTTTGAAATCTCAGGATTTAGCTGAATGGTGGCTACAGGAAGAAAAGTTTCCAAATGCTTTTACAGTAATTATTGTCAAATATAATTATTGCATTCAAATAATTATAATTACCAATAATTATTACTGTTACACTTGACAACTATGTGAAATGATATTAATGATATCATTAGCGCCATTACATGTATATTAATTGAATAATTGGTCAAGGACCTGGGCCCAGGCTGGCCGCTCAGTAACACATGATTCCTGGGCCGACGAGAGTAAGATTCTTGTGCCAAGGTTATGGCACAGAAGCAAATCTAAAAAAAAATTGTGTACTGTAATTTCATGATTTGAACAGCAAACCAGTTAACGGAACAGCTTGTGACGTTTTTTCCATCTATTTGGTCACTAGATGGCAGCAATTCTAACAAGTTTTTTTTTGGGGGGGGGTCAGTCTGACACATGTGGAAGCCCATCACTATGCTTAAGAGTATCCAAACAAAAAAATGGGAATTCCATGCCACCCACCTACCTCCACATGGAAATTTCAGAGATAGATTGCTAGAACGGAATGCGTATTCTCTCCCTGGAGGCA